CCCTTCCTTGCCCCTGTCCCCTTCCTTGCCCCTGTCCCGTTCTGTTCCCTGCCCCTGTCCCCTTCCCTGCCCCTGTCCCCTTCCCTGCCCTGCCCCGTTCCTTGCCCCTGTCCCCTTCCCTGCCCCTGTCCCCTTCCCTGCCCACACAGCATCCTTTTACCAAACTCACCGCGTTCACTGGGACCGGAGCCTGGCGTGCTCTCGCCATCCCGTTGAGACTGGTTGGATTAATCCCCTCTTGCCCAAGAGGGAACCACGGCTGCAAAAGCAGGCAGAGACCCCCTCGGGGAAGCCAGGCGCAGAGGACAGGGACAAAGCGGTTTGAAGCTGTTGTTCTCCAGTTCTGCGTGCCCACCAGGTCCAGGCCACCCAGGGGTGCTCGCTGCAGCACCCTCGGGCGGAGGGGGCACCCCGGGCTGGGAAGCTGCCTCGTTTGCTTCGTGCACCCCCGGAGCCGCAGCACGTGGGCATCCGGGCATCACCAGGCTCAAAAAGCAAAGTTGCACGAGCCAAATGTCACCGGCTCCTCGGCCCCTTGGCCACAGACCGAGGCACCCGAGATGTTTTCCGAGAACTTGTCCTTCGCCTGCTTTGCTGCAGTCTGCAGGGTTGCATGAGCCTCTGATCGTCCGTGCACCTCCCTCTCCTGGAATTTAAAGCTCTCTCCCCCCTCCCTTGCTAAAGAGCTAAGAGTGCCCCAGCCAAAAGCAGCCACAGAAAAGGGGAAAAGGGTGATTAAGGATTGTAAAAAGCACCGGAGCATGGAGAGCGCGTTAAGCGTTGGCGCTTTCCCAGCACAAATGTCAAGGCACCGGGTGACACAAGAAGCAGCAAAGGCCAGAGGAGAGGGAGGCGTTGGTTGGGGTGTTCCCCCCCATCCTGTCTGGCTCCCTTGCGACCCCAGGGTGCCAGAGATGGTGGGCGTTCCGTGAGTTCGAGGGGAGGCTGCCGTGCCCACGGAGCTGCAGCCCCTCCAGGATCCCTAAACACGAAGCCTTGCTCGGCTCAAAGCTGAAGGGCAGGAGCAGGGTGGGGGGGAAGGTTTTGGAAAAACCCACTCCTACCCCCCTCCCTGGGCATCCCCCATGGCTGCCGTGAGAGGAAAACTGGGCCAGGCGGGTCTTGATCTTACATTGCGACGCAATATTCATCTGCACGGGCTCTGCCTTTTTTTGACGTACGACCAGTGGCACCCCCCCGGAGCACCGAAAGGCCAAGTGGGCTTTGCTTTTGGGCAGGTTCCGTGCCCCGCAGCTGAGCACTGCTCACCACAGCCACCAACTCAGAGCAGGGCAGCTTCACCCCGATGCCCCCAGCGGGGTCCGATCCGGGGCATGGCGATGCCGTCCAAACGTGGGCAGGGAGAGGTTGGCTCCATGCCCGGGCAAGGGCATCTTCCAGGGATCCCGCTGAAGCCGTCGCTGGTTTTTCTCTTCCGCAGGATGAAATCCTGTTTCCTCCCTGGAGGGATTT